AGAGGACTGACCAGATGCTAGGCATAATGGGCTGTGTCCATGTGTAACATTGAACCAGTTCAAGGAGGACCAGCTTCAAATAGTACTTGATTATCTTAGTGTGCTTTTGAAATGTTCCAGGAAGTTTAAACCAGTTGAAAAGGGTCTGTAGGTCTAGACCCTTGGGGTTTAAGGTGTGTTTAGGATGCTCTAAGCAGTACGTCTGTCCACAGCCTTTAGGCCTAAAAAGCTAGTACTTGCATTAATTTCTAATTTACTATGTAAGCATAGGATTAAGCTTTAGGTTTTTGAGTGGTTGGACTTTGAAGTATGAGAAATATAAAGAGGATGTGGGTATGGAGATTTCCAAAGAACCAACTATCTTAGTTGGAAATAACTTGGAATTGCACTCCTCTAAAATGAAAATAGCCTGTTTCTTTTCTTCAGACCTGCAAATGTGTTATACAAATTTACTAGCCAAGCATACAATTAACTTTAATTTAAGATGATAATACAAAAAGTATTATATAGTCCTCAAAAGCTAACTTAATTTAAACCTTGACATCCAGAATTGACAGATAGTGGTCTTTGGCTAGAGTTCAAGAAATCACATAACTATATTGATTTGTGAAATTTCAGCAGGCAGATTTTAAGAATGACTTCAGCCTGATAACCTCTTTGAATATACTGTATGGGCCAAATAATATGGATTAACATTATGTATGTATGCATGCATGTTTAGATATAGAAAACAATTCATGTGTAAATCATATATTTTGCAATAGATATGCCATATCTACATTAAAATCTTTCTGGCTGCTTAAGGCTTTTGAAAAGCTTTAAGTGAATTTTCATATTTGAATAATTTTGTTTGGGCGGGCCCCAGGTCTTGCTCTTTGTGCTTGATGTAGGGAGGGGACGGTGCCAGGCCCAGGGCCTGGGCCTGGTGTGTGGTGTTCAGTCTGGCCCTGTACCAGTTACTGGCCTGTGGCAGGACCAAAAGGTTAAGCACCCCTGCTCTCAGTGCTTAGAAATACGTTTTTAATAATCTGCTCCAGAATCTTTAAAAATATCAAGGATAAACCGACCAGTCTGTATCGAGGTTAAACCAACCAGCCTGTAATTTCCTGGGTCCTTCTTTCTTTTTTAATAAAGACAGGCACTATGTTTTTGCTCTTTTCTGGTTGTCTGAGACCTGGCTATCTTTAAGTTACCTTTTTTTGCGAGCAGAACAATATGAAATGGTTAATGCATCAATCCTTCCAGCATGTCAATATTGAGTTCTACTGAAGTAGGTTTAATGGGAAGTTTCCCTTCTTTTTTTTTTTTTGTTTTAGTTCTTTTGAAACCTAGTATGAGTAAGACCTGAAACATTTCCATTAAAATCCTTAACCAATGGTGAGAATAAATTCCTAGCATCTCTCCTTTCTCCTGGAAGCTCGAGAGGAAAACCATGTATTGTATAATCTCATTTTTTACAGTTTAGTTTCATATATGAGTAGTATAGTTTTTGGATGCTGCATACAGCTTTACTGGGTACTTCAGGGAAGCTTTGTTTTTCTTGGATTTTTCATTCACTGGCAAATAATATAGAAAATCTAGATCACATGTCAAGACTTTTAAACTGTGAGATCCTTGCTTTTAATCTTCAGGATCAACTGCACAGACAAAAAGTACACCAAATTAGTGCATCTGTTACTGTTTTTCTCTAACATAGCAAAGATGACATTAAATCTAAACTTTCTTATTTTTGTAACTTGTACTATTTATATCTACAAATTTTCACTTGTATCAAAGAATTCAATTGCAGCATTTATGCCTTCTTATTTTGTGCACAAACACTGTTCTGTGTAACTTAAGTCTCAGTCCTTTTTAAAGAAGCACCCTTTCTCAGTAGTAAATTGCCTATGTTAATTTAATTAAAAGTTAAGTAGCTATTTGTTCCTTGGTATTAAATTGTTTAAACTTCTACTTAATCACATTTGGAAGAGCCTGACTGTTAATGTCACTTTATTTGTTAATGTCATGTCTCTTGGTTAGAATAAACTACAGACAGATGGTGCGAAAGGAAACCTTTTTAGCTTCTTTGACCAGTGTTTTCTGTACCCATAACCTAGATAGCTAAAGTTCTGTAAATGTATTTTATGATGTAATCTGCTCAATCCTTTTACCCTTGGGGGAAATTGCCGAATATGGAAGCAGCAAGTACCACCATGTGTTTTATGTTCCCCTGCAAAATCATTCATGTTGTCAGGAGCATGGTCTAATGCAGTTTGGTTTGTGGTTACTTGCAGGTAGGCACTCTGTAAGCATTCAGATCTTGTACTTATCTGTGTATAAATAATTCATTGATGTTTCAAAAACTGTTGGTTTCTATTTTTAATGGAGGTAGAAATTCCAGCTCTTCGGTAGTGCACGTATTTTTAATGGCTCTCCTGTTTTGAATAGGACGTACGCCAAACTTTGCAGTGATAATGTAGTGGTGTTCTCGGAGTAGTTTATGGCAAAATTAGTGTTTATACTGTGTTTGTGCTTACATGAAGCTAAGATGTAGAGTGGAGAAATAGCAACTAGAGGGGAAGCTACTCTGTAAATCTATTGTGGCTTCTGTTTTATTGGTATAAATCAAAGGTGTCAAACTTATTTGGCCCCACAGGGCTGGATGAGGGACTTGGGGCTGTTCTGTGGGCTGGATAGGGACCAACCTTCTGTGACGTGTCTAGTGTCTGTGGCACTGAGTCCAGCCTGCACACTGCATGCAGCACTTGCCAGCCCTGGGGTTTGCTTTGCACATGGTACGCAGGCTGTACCTGGTTCTGCGCAGCATGGGGTTAGTCTGGGGCATGTGTTTACATGCGGTGCCTGCTCCACACCAGCCATGTGCACTAGTTCTGGGGCCTCTTTGGATCGGGGGTCCAGGCTGCGCATGTGCACCAGAGCTGGCGTGAAGGGCCATTCCATTGGGGCACCACATGCAGCTTATGGCCTGGACCAACCCCCTGTGCTGCATGCAGTACCAGATCCAGCCCACACACTACATGCATAGCAAGCCTCAGGACTGACGCATGGTGCACACAGCACAGGAGACCAGCATGCAGCTCCCCACCAGACCAGCCCTGGATGCTGGCTCTGTCACATCCCAATCTGGACTGGCCCCAGAGCCAGCATGCAGACCTGGTCCAGCGTGGGTGCCACACTCCAAATGGAATCTGTGCCGTTTGCAGGATTCGGGGTCAGTCCGAGACCCATGGGTTGGATCATACGGTTCCACAGACCAAATCCAGCCCATGGGCTGTATATGACACCACTAATATAAAAGCCTGTCTTTTGTGTGTGCGTGTGTCATACATCTTTTTGTGTAGCCGTATTTTGTTCTAAGACACAGAGGCAAAGAGAATCCTGTTTACCAAGACGGTGAGCAATGTGGAAGCTTGAGGAAGAGTTGTCCGATAATGATGTATAAAACACCATGAGGCACAGTTTAAGAGCCAACTGGCTAAAACAGAAGCACAAACTGCCAATTTGATAAAGTCAAAACATGAAAATAGCATACAGAAGATGCTTTTTTCCTTTGGTCTTAGAGGCTCTTTCATCAGGACTTGTTTCTGGTGAAAATGTTGAACCTGGGCATTATAAAGCAAAATAACTAGTTTTAGTTTTAAAAGCATATCCTTGTTTCAGAAAGCTACACACTCGTGCCTTTTCTTGAGGTACAGAGTAACAGTACTAACCAACAGAAAAATGGACCTAACCGGTGAAGGGTGTGTTGAAGCAGACAACAGGTGTATACTCTTACGTTAACCATCTTTGGTCTGATGGTTGTGCTGAAACATTGAGGTGTTTCCTGTTTATAGTACTGGTATTTCAGCCATTACAAAAAACAAAGATTTGTGTTCATGCTTATGGGTAGGGACCTACCAAAGTCACGATTTTGCATATTTCGTTAAACTGGGAGGGGAGGGGGGGCAGGGAATAACTCACTGAAAATAAAATGCAGGCTTCCCAGTCCCCAGGGTGCTGCAGCAGCCCTCCAGGGCAGGGAACTGAGGAGGGAGGGCTGCCAGCAAGATGGCTGCCACCCTCACCCCTAGCTGCTGATTGGCTGCAAGGGCTGCCTGTAATGTGGTTCCCATCCCCCGCCACCAATCACTGACGAGGGGTTTGGCGGCATGATGGACAGCACTCACAGCAAAGAGGGGCAGGGACACTGGGGCCCATCAACCAATCAGAGGCTGGGGGCACCATGCTCCACCCACAAAATGGCTGCCAAGCCCTCGTTCTGCCCACAAAATTGGTGGGCAGCCACCTCAAACTAGGTAGGTCCCTACTTACGGGTATTTGAAGACACTCCTAGCTCGTGACTGGAAGGCAGGAGTCCCCAGTGCAAGTACCTGCCATTAATGAAATAATTTAACTCTTGAAAATATCATGTCTTCCTTTCTCAGATGTGAAATATTGTGGGTCCAGTATTATTAGCCTTGCTAATCTAGACTATAGTGAAAACACTGTCAACCATAGAATTGCCACTTCATTCCCTATGTGGTCAAAAAGGACTTGTTGAAGACTTTTCAAAGTGAGCTGTAGTCGACTTCAATTTTCCTTCCAGCCTCCAAGCCCTACAGAAGTAGCCAAAAAACGACTTCCTCAAATAATGGATTTTCGTAGCCTGTGAGAGTTGTTGGCAATTTTTTTTGAACGTGGACAAGAAACCACTGTGCCCATGCCTACTTCAGGTACCTGTACTTTATGTAATTAAAACAAAGGTTACAAATATTGAATACCAATATTAAACATCCCTCTGATCAAAAGTACTTTTTCAAGCAAAATATCAACTTGGAAGTGAGTTCATATTAAGATCTAGAGTAGCTTTAGGAAAAGTACTTTTAAGGTAACTACTGGCACCAGAAAAAATTACTTAGATTGTAACACAAGTGGATTGGTAGCTGTTGCATTACCCATTTGCATTAATCCACTGTCTTCATCTAGAAATTATTCTTAAACATTCTTTCTATTCCTCTTAGGTTCAGACTGACAAGCTGATGGCTGGTGAAAAGCAGCGCATGGCACTTTGGGAAGCATTTCTGGAAGAACAGCAAAACAAACAAGCAGAAGTGGATGAAGAGCACAGAAAAGCAATGGAACGCCTTAAACAGCAATATGTTGACATGGAGAAGGACTTGGCTAAATATGTTTCTTTCTAAGAACTTTCATTTTTCAATAATACCTTTTTTTTTTTATTCCAATACACTCTTGTTTCAGACTGTTCAATATTGAGGCTTTTTCAGAAAGCCTATTCAAAATGGCAAAAAACCCCAATTCTCCTGTATAACAAGTTTGGTTTGGGAAGTTTTACATACCTCTGACTTTAAGTGCCTCTACAAGCTTTGTTTTTTCAGGATGACTAGAGTGCCAGTATTTCTTAGTTTGTGGAGCAGGTGGAACCACCATATCAGTTCAAGAAGTTGCAAACTGGAATTCTTTGCTTATGAAGACAAAGTTGTCCTGTGGGGGGAAAAAAGCCCAATAGAGTCTTTACTCAGTCAGTACAGACCCAGAGCTCCATCCCAAAAGAGCTAGATACCAGTCATAAAAGGCAGAGAATGAACAAGCACATAAATTCCATTTACTAGCTTGAAAAAAAACCAGCTGGTATTGCAGCATAGAGCGAGTGCATTTTGAAAGTTCAGTGGTGAAAGACCAGAATGTATTAAACTCGGCTGCAGTTATGGTTGTATTTTTTGGATTTGTATGTTGTGTGTTTTATAAAGTAGTGGTTTAGTATAAACTGCTCACTCTAGCAAACACACCTTAAGAAATCTTGGGCTACAGTGACTCCTCTGTACGACTGGCTCACAACTCTTTACCTTTTCAATTCTAAGCAGCCAAAAGAAGACAGAGGGTGACTTTCAAAAGTGCATCAGTCCTTCCATTTGTATTTTATTCAGTAAAATGTTTAAGTATTGGTCATTCTGGTGGTGCTCTCAGTATTGTCTGCTTTGTTCGAACCTACTACCTGTAACCTGTTGTAAAAAGCCTTACAACAGTTGGGGAAAGATCTCAATCTCTGTTTTTGTCAGTATTGAAAGTAGTGTTAAAGGTGAAACATCTACAGTATTACTTTGTGTTCTTATTAACACGTACTATGGGGCTTGTGCAGCTCCTGTCATTACTGTTCCTTTTACCTTATTTGAAATAGACATTTAATAGCAATATCATTAAAGAACTTAAAGCTTAATTATCCTTTTGTAAACCATGTAACATGAAATGCAATAACATTGATGAAACTTGATGCAAACTAACTTGAGGTACAGGAAATTTTCTCAAATATTTTAACTACTATGCAATATAAAATAGAAACTGGTAAAAAAAAAAAAACAAAACAGTCTTTGCTCGTTATCTGTGTTGCAAATGCAGTATGCTGACAATGGTTGCTTGTGTACGTTCATGGCTTGGTGTCAAACCTCTGTTCCTGGCAGCATGTTGATAATGTGATTAAAGTTAGCAGAGGAGATGGAATAAGTATTTGAGATTTCTTTCAATAACACTGAATTCCTGCCAAACTGCTCTATCCGCTACTGTGGGCCTGACAGCTTCATCAATCATCGTCAGGTACCTGGACTGCAAAGAGCACTTGCCGACACAGAGGCATGCTGGAATGTTGTTAATTTTCAGTTGTGGGTGGAAAAAACATAAATGGATCCAAAGTATCCCACACATGAAAAAAAGTGAGGAGAACTTCCAAACGAAAGCCCCTATTAACTGCAAGGTGATTTCTGGAATGATTCTAACCATTTTATAGTCACTGATGAATGGATGCTGTAACAGAATATTCTATAAAAGCCTATTTTTTTTTTAGTATCTTGCATCTGTTTTGTATAGTTGTATTTTTGTTATAAAACATGGATAAGGAGAACCCACTTTACCAAAAATGGTGAGCAGTTTGGAAGATTAAGGAAAAACTGGCCAATAACTATGTACAAAACACCACTAGGTACGGTTTAAGAGCCAGCTGGCTAAAACAGAAATGCAAATGTCAATTTGATAAGATCAGAACTTGAAAATAATATACAAAAGATGTTCTTTTCTTTGGTCTTAGAGGCTCTTTCATCAGGACTTGTTTCTGGTGAAAGTATTGAACCCAGGCGTTATAATGTGAAAGAAATGTGGTTTTAGTTTTGTTTGGTGTTTTTGTGGGGGGGGTTTTAAACTTCGGAATATGTAAATATATTCTTGTTTCAAAGAGCAAGACACTCATTTTTATATTGATGTTCACAGTCACTTTAAAGATCAACCGAAAGCCCTGCCTTCCACAAGATATTTTGTTAAAATGTTCTTAATTCCCAAATATTTCTGGCAGAATTCACTTAGATTTTCAGAACTGCACAAAGTTATAATTTTTGCCTCTTGTTTTACCTTTGTTGAAGGAAAAGTAGAGCTGTGGCTTTAATACTTCCCATTTGAGGGCTGGCTTGGCAATGATACAGATGTTGAAAGTCTAGTGTATGCTTTGGAAATACCAGCAATGGGATTTGTGCTCCTGAATCCATGGGTGCTTTTGAAGATCTGCTTCTTCTCTTTATTATGAGAATATTGCAGTTAATGGAATGTCCCTTCAGATGTTCTTTAACATGCAATATATCTATTTGTTGACTCTCCTCTTTTTTATTATTATTCATTTGGAGACTGTATAAAAATACTGAATTATTGAATGACTTGACTGAACTTTGAGTATTGTGTGCTGTAGTTCTTGAAACAGATTAACAATGTATGCACGCTTTGACTGGGGAGAGGCTTGGCAGAATGGATGAAAAAATGCTTTGCTGTGAAACGTAAAAAGAAAACTGTTGGGTTAGTTATTGCGTAGATAGCTCAGTATGTGCAGTGTGTATGAACGCAGAGCTTTTAACCCTGTCACACTTCAGTATCTGTTTTGCGAATAAAGCTGTGGTTGATGCGTCGCAATGAAGGACGGGGTGGTTTGGGATATTTTTTGGGGTGGGTGGTGTCTGAGTTGTGGGTTTTAGGGGATGCTAGTCTAGCATTTGGAGAATCTGTCTTACCATTTGGGAAAAATGCAAAAATAAGGGAGTTTCAAAGTCATAGTAAGTCACACAAAAGTAATTCAAGGCCATTTTACAATGCTTAAACTACTCAAAGTTACTCAAATCTGCAACAGATTTGAAAATCTTTTGAGTATTGACAATTCTCATTTAAATCAGAGTCCAGTAGACTCTTCTGGGAGTTGAATCTGCTCCTGGATTCTCTCTCTAATTGCAGAAATTGGCTTCACAATCCTGCTCTTTTTTCAGATTAAGACTGTAACTTTTAACACTGCAGCTGCTCTTTTTTCAGATTAAGACTGTAACTTTAGACACTGCAGTTACCCTGCCAGTATTATCAGACGTTTGTAGAATGCTTTATTTTTGTCGAGCTAAAATGTCTACCTGCTGGTTTTTTATTTCTTTTCGAATTTGAAGATGTTTTCTGTTTTGGTGGCTACATAACAAGAGACCAGCATCTGTGAGGGAAGGTTTAAAAACTTCTACTGCCACATTGAGAAGAACCGGTTAAATCAGCAATGGACTATTTATGACATTTATTTTATCATTATCTTGTTTAAAAATAGAACAGGGAGAATTCTTTTAAGTTTGACTTAAATTTGATGGCAGACTTTATAGGGGCATCATTTAGTCTCAACATCCTTAAGCTATAAAAAAGTCTAGTTTGAGGCTTTTAAGTTTGAGTCTACAATATTTTAAAGTCTTAAACCAGTCTTTTCATCTTAAGGATATCAGGACTAAATGATGCCCTTAAAAAGTCTTCCATCCCATAATTTCTGGTTGCAGTATCATACCTTCACTCTTGACTTTCCTTTCTGATATATACAACTCTTCCTTAACCAGATGGTATGTTCATCTAATAATTTATATCCAATTGAAGGAGATATAAATGGAAACCCAAATTCATAACTCAGATAATCGATCATCTGTTCTCCACTACAAAAGCCAGCTCTGCCTCAATATGTCCCACAAAACTGAAATTTTCAGGTACTCACCAGTAGATGTCAGTCTGAGTATGACTGTTTTCACACTGTGAGGCAAATTTTTCTTAGTCATACCAGTGCAGTAGACACAATAGACAATATAGAGTGTGCATGGTTATTTTCAAGTCCAGATGATTTCAGGTGAAACCCTTGTGGTGGTGAGGCAAATCACTTATCGGACCAAGCGACAAATTTCTAAGCCAGAAAGTGATACTACTTTTTGATACAAACTTGCCCTGTTAATTGTCAAAAAAGCAGGAGGCAGCTGCCGCTTACTGATATGATTCAGAAGTGTGCCGACTGGGTAATACTGCCTAGAAGACATGATACATGTGGATAGGTTTATTGTTGTTTTGTATTGTAATAGGCTGTGTTTAGCCTGAATGTTTCTGTGGTTGAATTGTGAGTATTGACAGCTAATTGTGCTATTATCATACTTTCCTTTATAAATTAATAGTTGTCTGAAATCCCTTGCAGCAAAGCATAGGCTTATTGGCCAAAGAAGCTTTTTTTTTAAAAAAAAAAACAAAAACAAAACAAAAAAAAAAAACCTCCCCGCAAGGTATTACAGTATGATTATACAATATTTTGGCAAACCAGATTGCCAGCCTGTGCTACAAAATATATAAAAAGAATCTAATAAGTGACTATTTAGAAGCATCTTTCCAAAGACAGTGAAGGATAATGATGGAAAATTATGGTGGTTTGTATTGAACAGTCTATTTAAAACCCATTTTGGCAACTGTCAGACATGCTACAGAAATTGGTACTAAATTTGGAGGTGTGGAGAAATTAGTAAGTTGACTTAAAGACCATTAAAAAAGGAGATGATTCTTAACACCTGTGGAGTGAAGAACGATGAACCACTAAGTCACCTTACTAATTACCATTTAAAACAATTTTTATTTTATTTTTTTTAGAGGCAAGTATCATTTATTTAAGAAACAAAAAGACAACAAGTGATGTATTTGGTGGTGTTCATATTTTCTACCTGAAGCCCTTGGCTTGCTGCAGTACAGAAAAACCTGCTTGAGCCTCTGGTCTTGTGTCTTTGTGCTGACCTTCACTCTCAGCAGTATGTTTCTTCTACTTTCACGTGCTTTAGGTAGGGTGGGTTTTTTCTGTTTTCTTTTAGAGATGAGGGGAGGACTACATTGCAGGTACTGTAGCAGCATCTGGACGATCAACACTTTTACCTTTAACAGTTCCATATTAAGTTGCGTGAACGTACTAGTGTACCTCTATATTGCTGTACATGGAGATCCTGCTTTTTCTGTAGGTGACCCCACTCTAGGACTGTCCTGCTCTCTTGGTCCACGTGAACAAGGCTCTGAAGATGGGGCAAGAGCCTACCTTCTGCCCCTTCTTTTTTGCACTGTTGGAAAATAGTGCTGCCTCAGAGTGCAGACACACATGACAACTGAACCTTTGCCAAATGTCACTGATTGGGGGCCAGTTCACATTGTGTGAAATGTTGTAGCTTTGACACCAAGAGATATGAGTAAGTACCAAGCCCAGTGTGCCTTGCAGTGGAGGGGGCTGGGAGAGAGTGCTCTTGAGTGTCCCAGGGGATAGATTACCTGTGCCTGGAAGTGTTTTCATTTTCCTGCTTTTCCTTCTCTCCTAAATGTGGCTTCAATAAACTTCAATAGTCTACAATTAACCAAAGTCTGCAGTGTGCCTGCCTGAGTTGGGAGGATGGGAAGAAAATGCTTGGACCCATGCTATTTGGGTCCCAGGGGCAGAGGGGACATAAGAGGGGGACGGTGCAGTCAAGTAGGGATTGAGGAAACAACTGGTTGTTAGACTTTATTGAACAAGCAGTGTAAGGGAGCTCTTTCTTTCCTTCTTTCTTTTTTTAATTACCAACGAAAGGGGGGAAATGGCAAACGGTAGAGTTTGGGCTGTGTACCAGAGTGGCCAGTTGCAGTATTGTGGGTGAGTAGCAATGCAGTATGGGATGCCTTGATGACTGATCAGACCTGTCTCGCAGAACACTTGGGCTAGGTGCAGATATTCAAAAAGCCCAAGGTGGACCTGATCTAAGTTGCATGGTTTTCTGTAAGCGGCATAGTTTACATCTGTAGTGAACAGAACATATATTTGCCCTTTGCGGGGGCGCAAACCTTAGACCAGGTTCTGCCCTTTTTAAGCCAGTCTGTATGTGCTGAACTCCTGTTATGGGTATAGACCGGTTTTGTTTGCTGCACTTATGGGTATAGACCAGTTTCCAATCACTTATACCAGTAAAAGTATAATATCTGTATCTGGCCTTGGAGTCCACACAACACTAAACTGGTTCAAAACAGCACTTGATTCCAGGCTGCTTTGAGCTGCTTTAACAGGCTTGTATACTTACTTCAAGTTCAAATTGCTTTAAAACCGTTCTATGTGGTGTTAACTTAGAGCCTGCCTGTACTAAGCATTGTTAGGGAGATTAAAGGAATAAAAGCACTGTTAGATCATTTTTCCTTTTGTATCTCTAACTCACCAGAGTTCCTTGGGGATTTGTAGATTTGAGAGACATCGCTCCTTGCCATTGCCATGGACCTCTGCAACATAGCTCAGGAAGGGGCTGCTTAGTATAAAACTGCAAGATGAGCCTGGCTCCCTTAATTTCCTCTCTGCAGAAGGACTTACCTGATTCACATGGCTGCTTGTGCAGAAGAAAGGGCTGAGTCAGTTTTGCTAGGGCTTGGACCCGGAGTTTTGAGAATTGTGGTATTTTAAACTTGATGTTCTGGCAATTCATCTATTCTTTCTAACGTAGCAAGCTGACGTGGTATTGTATGCATGAGACTCCTAGGAGAGAAGATAAAAATAAGACAATTTGCACCACAACAACAATAGAGCAATTGCAGGCAAAAATGGAGGGGGTAGTGAAATGTTTTAAATACCTCAATTTAAACTAAATTAGTGGAGTGGGATTCAAAAACTTACTGGGTGCGTCTACACCAGCAGCCAACTGCACAGTTGTTACCGCACTTGTGTAAGCAAGTACTAAATGACTCCACAATAACCAGCGTTACTGCACAATCCCATGGCCACATGGTTATTTTTAGCTGCTACTGCGCAGTAGTTCATTGGTACTGTGCCGTAGCATCACCATCATGGTTCGTGCCTGGCGATGCTACGGCACCGTAGCTCATTGCTATGGCGATGTAGTATGTCATGTAGACACACTCACTGTTGTCTTACACATTGACAACCTTTCTCCCCACATTGCTTGAGAGAAACATGAGCTGACCACTGAGTATCCATCTTTTTCTTCTTTTAAAGTAACATCAGAAATAGTTTAACTGAACAAGTGGATAAGAACGAGACTGCTGTCTGTGGCATTTTAAGGATAACATTCAACTCCTACATCCCATTGATTTTTTTTTTTTGAGAGAGGATTAATCTAGAAATCTGTGTCACAAGAGACTGGAAATTGGAGGTCCCTATTCTGTGATCTGAATAAAAAAAGCCAAACACTGAACTGTAGCCAAGCACTGTGGCACTCAGAGCATTTTTTTAAATTTTCTCCCCAAATGAGGTTGTAAAAGAAATTGGGAAATTTGCTTTGCAATTCTGGAGTG